TAGGATGCTTTCAGTTAGTTTTTTGCTTTATATAGAAATCCCTATAGTAATGATTTTTTTTTTTTTTTTTAGCTCTTCAGGGAAATAAAGTGTTGTTTTTCCTTGATAATAAAATATGTTTTAAATTCATTTACTTCTGCTCACCAGTGAATTCTCTTGCCCACACCTCTTAAAAGGGAGGTCCAGCATTTCTATAGCTTTTGACTGCTAACCTGTTCCTTTTTACTTTTGTGATATCTGGCTATCAGTATTTGGATCGAAATTTTGAACTTTTCAGTTGATGCATAGAGAGAGCCAGGACTTTTCAAGGACCCCCAAATAACATTCCTAGGTGTTTGTGTTTTGGCATTTGTTCACTTTTCTGTAGTAGTTAAATTGCTTACCAACTAAGTCGTTTTCCCACAAGTCTTCTCAACCCTTTTCACTGCTCTATGTTTAGAAGCATGCAAGAATTAAATACTTTTTATTTAAGATTTAAATACTTTTCTACCTAACCATGAACACAGGTGGTGTGAAAAAAAATAAAAGACATTTATTATGATTCTGATGAAAACATTTTAGGATATCAAATAGAGGACAAAACTAAAGATTCAGTTTAAATTTGCTTACAATCATGATCCAACAGATGCACATCTCAGTTCAAAGCCAGAATAGCAATTTATTCCCTTAGTTTATTTAACTTTAAAAAAAGGTGGGTTTTTTTGCCAAATCCACTATTAAAAAAACCAACCACCATGCTGTGCTTTTAGATGCTTCTCCACACATCATTATCCTTGATTTATAACAAGGGAAACACATTCCTTCCTTAACATTTAACCTAATTCCATAGTAAGACTATTACAAGAATTTTGAAAACCCTTAAAGGTATCTGTTACAAAAATGTATTTACGCTTTAATCATATGTTTTATGAAGTAGAAAAAAAAAATCTGCTTTTGAAGGTATGTGCATGTTCATAGTTTGAGAATCCGAAAATTTTTAATGTATTTAACATAATGGTAGTGAACTAACACCAGAGATGTTTTTTAAAACATTTTCCTTTTTTTATGTATTGCAAACACATCTGTATATCATGTGCTTTAATGTTATTAACTCCGGTTTTATAACAATAAGGCTATAATTCATAGATGTAGTTCTTCACTTCTCATATCCTTGACCCAAATACCCAGTTCTAATAAAAAAGGCAAAAAAACAAGAAACAAAAAATCAGGGTGCTGAATGTGTAACTATTCAGACAACAGCACCTCCTGTTTAAGCGATTATTGCCTTCAGGTGCTATCTCTTCCGTGCATTTCCTCTCAGGAGTTACTATCACGTCACATGTTCCAATTTCACTGTTCATCTGACCACTCTAAGTTAGCTTCTGTCAAAATTACTAGACTTAAGAGAAACTTCCTGAAGTGCTAAGATGCTTTTGACAGGGAAGAAACAGCTGTACAGGGTTACGACAGTGAACTGGGCTCACAGGTCAACACAGATCGCCTTGGCAAGCAATGCCACATACTGGAAGGTTCTAAGCTCTGAAA